AGCCAGAAGGCCCTAGAGGGAAAGTTAAAAGAACTGTTGCCATCTGGCCTGAGCAGAAGCCTTTGTTTTGCCAAGGGAGACTCACTGGAAAGCCAACCACCTCAGTTCACCAACCATATGGAATTAATACTCTGTACAGAAGCCTGTTACAGTGCAATACCTCACTCCCACACCCCAGAAACTATGTTTCATAATCCCCCCAGATTTTCACACAGCTCACCCCATAGTCCAATACCTAAAGCTAAGGGAGTACTGGACTACTGGCCCTATCCAGGAAAATACTAATAATGCTGCATAAAATGGAAATATTAAATCTGTCCCGAAGGTGGTTTTTTTCAAGAGACAACTGGACTTTCTGGTTTTTTTCTTTGAAGACGTTTCGCTTCAGAATTCAGTTGCCGCTTGAAAAAGCACCTTGGGGACAACCATGACCGGATAACTTGAGAATCTCCATAGATCAGTTTGTTAAACTTGGTATCATCACCATCCCAGGATTTCGGACACCTATCATTCTGCTTCATCTTCTACACCGTTCCCTTGAGCCATGGACTGCATCACCCACCTACCCCATTAATCCCCTGGCCCCATTCGCCGTTGAGGAAGAAGGGGAAAACTGGGATCCAAGCGTGTTGCGAGCCTGTGCACGACCCAGGGAGGAAAAGCCCGACGAGCCGTACTCAAAACGCAACCAGGGGATAGGACATGGGGAAGGCGGGGAAAGGAAAGACGCCTGGGCTATAGAAAAACACCACGCCCCGGGAGAGTCCTGGACACTTTTTGAGCACCCGTGCTTGCGAGAGAGAGAGACGCCCAAGTGGGAGCGCTTAATTTTTTCTCCGAGAGAGCGACGAGAGAGGCACCTGATGAATGAAAGCTCCGCCTCCGCGCCTTTTAAGAGAGCGGCGGGTTATCTTCCTCGACCACTTGAAGCCCCGAAGGCGGCTCGCCAAAGGCGGGAGCGCCGCAATGGAAGGAGATCGACTCACGCTCCGCTCCCTCTTGCCGCTCAGGCTTCTCCTCTCGTCCTTCGCGCGCGCAACATGACTTTCCGCGGGCTTTATGGGGGGCGGCTCAACTCCACTCCGTTCGCCATGCCCCCCTTCGACGCCGCTGGGAGCCGGGACAAAGGCAACGGCAGCGGGACCTTCGCGGAGCAATGCGGCTCCGTCTCGGTGGCTTTCCCTTTGACCATGATGATCACGGGCATGGTGGGCAACGGCCTGGCCATGCTGCTAGCCTACCGAGCTTACCAGAAGAAGGAGAACCTGCGGAAGAGGCCGTTCTTGCTGTGCATTGGTTCTCTGGCCCTGACGGACCTTGCCGGGCAGCTGCTGACCAGCCCCGTGGTCATCACAGTATACTTGGCCAATCGGAAATGGCACGCGGTGGACACTTCCCAGAACCTGTGTGTCTTTTTTGGCTTGGCCATGACCGTTTTTGGTCTTTGCCCTCTCTTCATTGCAAGTGCCATGGCCGTGGAAAGGGCCCTGGCCATCCAGGCCCCCCACTGGTACACAGGCCACATGAAGACCAAGTTGACCAAGATGGTGCTACTTTGTGTGTGGCTGACTAGTTTTGCCTTTGCCCTCTTGCCCATGATGGGCATTGGGGAGTATACACTTCAGTGGCCGGGCACTTGGTGCTTCATCAGTATAAAGGATCATGAAAATGCTAGGGTGGGCAATGCTGTTTTTGCTTCTACGTTTGCTTTCTTGGGACTCTTTTCCCTCACTGTTACTTTGGCATGCAACATGGCAACCATAATTTCACTGGTGTGTCGCTGCTGGTCCAAGAGCTCAACATCCCGATCAAGGAAGCAGTGGGGCAGGATTACCATGGAAACCTTTATCCAGTTGCTCGGAATCATGTGTGTCCTTCTTGCTTGTTGGTCCCCACTTTTGGTAGGTTTCTTCGGTGTGTCCAATTGCTACAGAGTGGTCTGTTGGCACAAAGCCAGGCTACAAATTGTTGTAGTAAATCTAATTTGTGGGAAGCATCTAGTTAGAGAAAACTGGCAAAAGCACATAACTTGTTACAACATATGTGCCAATTTTTTTAACAATGCTCTGATATTCCTTTTTGTTTAAAAATTTGAAAGAAAATAGATGACATTTAAGTTCATTATTAATTAGTGTGCTAGGCAACTTTGGTCAGTGAAATTTTTCTGTTTATATAACCCCTGTCCTGTCTTTAGCTTTATTAAAATTATGTCCAAACGTCTTTTGAGATGAACCATACACGTTTCTCATTGTCTTTAGCTAAAGATGATTATAACTGAAAGTGGTTGTAGATATACTTAATTTCATTTTAACCATCATAGCATTTTGTTGTTTTCTTCCTGGTCTTATTAAGATTTCTGCTCGGTATTGTAGATCTTGGGGGGAAATATGAAATGCTTTACACCAGGTGAAAATGAGGCAGTTGTATATTCTATAACTTCAATGGCTTCCTTCAAAAAAAACATGGGAAAGTACTTGAAAACAGGTCAGACTATTTGTTGATCTCCTAATTGTGATGTTCCAGAGTCTCAGGGAAGACCTCTGTAATAAGTTAAAACTATGCTTTGATTTATTCATTGCAAAGCATGTGCTTTGCTACCAAATCAAGCTGACTTCATCAGTACAGGAATGAACTAATTGCATTGCATTATGCTGGTGCTTTATTTATCTTTAATTTAAAAAGATGAAGAAGATATAGCACCAGAC